ATGATGCATTCTCTTGCTCTGAAAGTGTTTCCAATGTCAATGGAAATACCAAAATATCTTACAAGCTAGATTGAGAAAGTGTTACCCTTAAAAAGGATGGACTTTTTTTTGGTCAAAATATTTGGGTTCCGCTGTTTGGAGATTTTAAAGGACAGATGCTCCCCTGCCCTTATTCTTCTAAGAGTTTCAATGAAATGTTTAAAAAATGGAAACCACATAAAGAACAATTTTCAGCAACAAAGAGCATCATTTTATCTTGTCAGAAATTGACACTTGATATAAAGGTAAGTTACCACAAAATTAATGCAACAGCTATTCACTGTTCTTGACTAAAAAGTAATTTGGATTGGATGACTTGATACTCATCATTATCTTCTGTGAATATAAATTAGGCTGACCATTATTAAATAACAGTTTTTAAAACAAAAAAGGAAGTACAAGATATAATAAAACTATAGAAGTCTTTTTCATAGGATATTGTAAATGCCAAAACATAGATTTAGGAAGGATTAGGAATATTCATGGAAGAAAATTTCATCAAATTCAGTTAAACACAAAGGTAGTTCAGAAAATATTAAAACTGTAGATTTCTCTAAAGGTTTATTTGGTGAAGTATCACTAGGGGATTATACTGAATGTATTCACTATAGTTACTTTTTTTCTAAGATTGAATATTGGACTAGATAAATCTTTGGTATGTTCTAATATGGCCATGTTCTTATAAGCTGTGTGTCAACACAAACTCTCCTTTGTCTATACAGACTGTAAAGTCATACTTGCCAATTTATCATTTCATCAACATTCCTTTACTCCAGTCCAAAGTGTATAACTTTTCTAATGCAGAAAGGATCTCCAATTGATACATTTCAAAACCACTTTTGAAAGTACTGATTTGAACTAAACCAAACCTCATTTCATATATACCTAGACTTAGGTCACTAAAAACAACGTACGTTTGTGACAAATATGCCTCTGAACTACTGCTTACAATGTACATGAATGTGGCATAGTGTGCTGGATAAGAAGACAGACTGGGAAAGATATGTTGCCTGGAAAAGCATAAATGGGATCTAAAGGAACCTGTTACTTACTGGATAATTCACCCACCAGACTGACAGTTTTTCCCCAGTCTATTGTTGTGTGTTTATGAATTCTTATGCACCTCAGTTTATTGCTAAATTTTATGAATTCTGTCATATCTCCATATTGCCTCCCTTTCTCCCTCAGATTTTCCCTCCAAAAGTTGTTTGTCACCCTGTCTCCCCAGTTTTCCCGCTCCTCTGCTGCTTATTGGTCACAGCCTGCCACCATGCAGGGAGAGCTACCATTGGCCCAGTCCCTCACAGACCCGGGAGTTCCACCCACCTTTCCTGTATCCCCCTATCACACTTTTCCCTGAGTTGTCAATCTCTTGCACCTCCCCAGGTTAGAATCCACCCCTCAAACCTACGTTATTTAAACCCTTGTGTGCTGGTTTAAAAGTTAACCAGCAAGGGAAAATGAACTCAATTCAAAAGAGAGATTTATAAGTCAGAATAACAATTTATTAAAATAATGCAATAAGTACAATTATACAGACAGACAATTGGTTTTAACCCACAAAACCCAAATGTATAACCCAGCACCCTAGGGTATGAACAAGAGTGGTGTACCTTGGCCCACCCCCGAGTCCAAAGCAAAGGGAGAGGGGATAAACCTGCTGGTGGGAGAGCTGCTGCAGTCTGGTCAGAAGTGGTGATTGCAGTCCAGTCGAGGGTGGTGGTCTCAGTCTGGTTGAACGCGGTGGTCTCCAGTCTAGTTGAAGGCAGTGGTCTGCAGTATTTCTCTGGATCCCACGAGAGGTGGCAAGGTTCTGAAACTCCCAGTTATATACTCTCCAGTTCAGGCGGGAGTGCTCAGTCCCTCCCTCAGAGTAGGGAATTCCATAAAAGGGCATGCGGATGCTCAGTCCCTCCTCCATAAAAGGGTATCAGAGCGGGGAATTCCATAAAAGGGTATCAGAGCGGGGAATTCCATAAAAGGGTATAGGAACATCTTCCCACCTTGCAGGTCTCTACTGACAACAGTTTCTGAGAAATGGCATGGACGGCTATAGAATACACAGTTTTGGGTTGCACCCATCCAGTGATGAATTGGTCCCAGCCGTTCTAACCAGGACACCTTGTTTCCCCCAAATAAACGGCATTGCTGCACGAGACCTCAACTGTGTCAGAACCCTTATTGCAGTGCCCGGTCCCATTCCCTTCCCCCCGCGGACCGCGGCAGCATAGCATAGACATGTTCTCAGTTTGAATCATTATATTTAAACTAATCTCACTTCATTGCTAGCACACAAGGCTTACATTGCACAACCCTATGATTCAGTTCCTGTCATTGCGTTTATACAGACACATTCCATGCCATATGTTAAATCTTTTTTAATCCTCTAACAAATTACTATTTCATCTAGGAAGCACAGTAATGAAATTATTGTATTAACATTCATCTGTGAACTGAAATTGACTTATTCCCCAAGAAAACAAAAAGTATGTTCTCTCTACTCCAAACACCTATCATTAAAAAGTAAGCTCAATAATTTCCAGGGCTGGATGAACAGTTGCACTGATACTCCTAGAAAATGAATATTAAGTTTGCACACTTGATGGCTCACATTCAGTGAAATAAGACAATGTATGGGGTAGTAAGAATCCCAAGTCCCTCAGACTCTTGACACAGAGGCAATTAAGCAAGTCAGACACGAGTCTGCATCCTTCACAACTACAACCAGGCAAGCGCACACAATTACTTCACAGTACTCTGACATGTTACATTTAAACTCTGTTCTCAGCCAATAAATGCTATAGAAACCTATTTTTTTCATCAACATTGCCTTTGGCAAGGCCCATGTGACCTAGAAAGATAAACCTGTAGCAGTTTATAAAATTTTCTGATATGGTTTTTCTGATACCTCTCATCAAATTTCTTCACTCTGTAAAAGATTTGGTGCTACAATGACTAGTGCAAGGTCTCCTCCTAGTAATAATATCAAATGGTACAACAATGCAAGATGTGCAACTATCACTATTTCATGTCATTGAAAATTTTGCAGTGAGTAAAAAATTTAAGAGGAGCATTTCTGTTTCTGCATCTATCTACTTTTAGCAAATCACATTTAGTGATTTTTTTTCTTCACAAGATTTGAGCAGTTTAAATATTTAATGTCTTTTATGACCTTACCAATCTTTTGTTAACGGTGATCTGAAACTGAATTACTGTGTTTTAAATATCAGGTCTAAAATTTAAGAATTAAACGATAAATATGATAAAAATTCCTTCTATAATCAGCTTTTTGTAAGTTGGAGGAAATCATGATCTTTCAGAAGTAAGTAGATTATTTAAATTACTCAGCTGCCTGTAAGTTGCCTTTCAACTTATTTTGGGTAAATTTTCAGCATTTAAAATGAAAGCTTGGTATTTATGAGAAGTTATAGAAAACAAAATCCAGTAAGTATACTTTTCTGATACATATTCTCTAGGCTGAAGCCAAATTACCCCTCAGTTTAATTTATAAAACTGATCTTCACCTCTTAAAAAAGACATTAAATTAAACTCTGTTTTCTGTACATGTGTTGGGTAGGAAGGAGAGGGAAGAGATTTGGGTAGAGAATAATCCAATTTTTTAGTAAAAGCCATGAATTTTTATATGAGGATCAGAAAACAGCCACTGAACTGTTAATTTCTAATTTGGCACAGTGTTATTGTACTGCTTTCTATTTTCATTGACAGTATTTCCCATTTGCTGAATTCACATTTTACAATCATTTTCTTCTTTGTCATATACTTGAATGAGGCTGAGTTATCAAAGACAGAAAGACATCTGACATAACTATAAGGAGAACTTAATAATGAGCATTTTATTTCTTGAAACTATCTGGTCTATTTTCTGAATTAAAATTAACAACTCTAATGGTGATTTTAAATATGAAAAGAAATGGAAATATAATTTTCTGATTTTCAATATTTATGCAAAATAATCACTAATGCTGACAATGCACAACATTCCATACAACTTGGCACATTGATTCAGCAAATATACATCCCTCTTAAAAACTGTAATAGAAAGTGCCTTCCATGTGCTCATATGCATACCTACAGTAGAAAACCAAAACACATTTACTGTATGCTTACAGTAAGTATCTGAGATGCATTTAAAATTTCTATGCCTATTAGAAATTGCTAATGACAACAGTCTCATCTTCAAAAAAAGACCGTTTCTATTTTTCTTTATTACTCACGTCTTTCTAATCACTGATGCAGGTTCAAGCCTTTACAGAGCTTTTTTTTTTCCCCTCCATGAAATTTCATTGGTACTGTCGTGGTTTGAGACCCCCAAAAATCCAATTTCCAAGTCCAAGCCCCCCTCCCACAATTTGCTTCAGTGTGAGAGGGTTTTCCAGACATAACACAAGACTCAATATGGGGGAAAGGGAATTATATTACAATTATTACTTAAATAAATACTATAATACATTATATACACAATCCTAACTATCTCTCCTATGGTAAAGTAATATTTATATTAGACCAAGTCCCTCCTCTCCCTCCAATAAAAGTTCAGAAGGGAAGAAGGAAAGATCCTTTCCACTTTCAGGGCAGCAGCGTCTCTCCTCTTCAATGCAGCAATTGTAGCTGGATTTGTTGTAGCTGGAAGATTTCTCTCTCCATTACAATATAAGGGGTCTTCTCTCAACCCTCTCAGCCCTTCGGCTCCAAGCGAAGGTCTCTTTCCCGTGGGCTGCAAAGCAGGGACAAAACTCGCTTCACCACGGTCATATCATGAAGTGCAGGGCATCCCGTGAAAGTCCCTTCCTCAGGAGATTCAAGTTCCTCCTGAGTCAGAACGTTTAGGGCAGCTCTCAGTTCAGTCTTTGCCCCAAGCGTTCTACCAGAGCTCCTTTGCTCTGTCTCAATTGCCAGCGTGGCAGCAGCAGTGGGGGGGCAAGGCCACCTCCTCTGCATTCTGTCCTGGTCCAGCTCTCAGGACATCTCCGAGCTCTCAGCTCTTCTCTCTCTCTCTCTAGCTGCTGCTGCATTTTGGGACTCCCTAAGAGTTTGGAAGTCCACCCCTCCTCTCTAGGAGGTCTCAGGGTTTTGGGAAAGTAATTTAGTCTTACCCCCAAAACAGTCTCTGCTGAGTTTTCTCTGCTTTGTTGCCAGTTCCCCCTCCTGCAGGAACATCTCTGCATTTCTCAGCCGGCTATGTGCCATCTCGCTGCTTGCTATCTCTTTTGGCTGTCAGCCACAGTTCTCTGTTCATTGCTGCTCTGCCGCTGCTTTCAGTGTCTTCTACTGCTGCTCACAGTGGAGAAACTCCCCCAGCCTTTGATGATGGCACCTGGTCCAGTTTTAACACTACACCGGGTCTCCCATAGTCCTGGCTGGGGGCTGGGTGCCAGGGGCCTCGCTGGCCCCTACCTCCTCGTGGCTCAGACCATGGCTGCCTCTCTTCCAACTACGTCATCTCTTCTTTTCCAGTCTGTTATAATATGTTGATTTCAAAGGAGCGAAATGTAGCTTATGATTGGCTCTGCACCAAGAACATCACCCCCTTGGGGGTTACCACTTTCTAACTCCAGGGGAAAACACTTTTCACCCTAGGGCAGGTACTAAACTTGAAATAATTACATTAATTTTAAACTAAAACTAGTCCAAATGCTAATACTTTCTGAAGGTAAGAGAAGTCCATCTCATATCAAAACAACTGCTGACTTACTTTTCTTGTATATTGAGATACTCCATTCCCCTGTGCACCACTACAAAATTCCTTGGATGAAAACCAGCTGTTACCCTAGGAAAAGGGATTTTGTCACCTTTCTGTTTCTCTGTCCCTTGCCTATACCACACTGGAGATCTACAGTTTCCTTTTTTGAAGAGACTAGCAGAAATTGTGACTGTAGCAGGAAGTAATGGGTCTAATATATTTGCTTTGATTTAAGAGAACTCTCTTTAGAGACTTTTGCCTGATATTCTCTGATTCAGGAGTCTCAAAAGCCATGCGGGCTTCACAGAAGGAAGAAGTGAAATAGTAGCTTTTCAGGATTTTGAGATTATTAACAATCCATGTTTGTAGAGAAGCAACAAAGATGGATTTCATTCAAGAGGGCTGAAAGAGCTTGCTACTGTGATTTTTGAATTCAACTGTCTGTCATCTTCAAACAACTATGGCGATGATGGGTTCTAGTAAAAACTATAAAAAAAAGACTAATGCTATGACAATTTTGCCTTCAGAGAAGGCAAAGTAGCCCATGTGGGTCCAAGGAATAAAGTGATCAGCATCAGCTTAGCCCCTAGAAAGATCACAAAGCATTTACTATATGGTTCTGTTCCAAACAAATGAAGGATAAGTGTATCTGGAGTTGCTGACACAGATTTACAAAGGGCTTGACAAACACAAAAACTTCCTGCTATGAAACAAATTGTTATGTTGGTGAGGAGACACTGGTGGACATACTCTACCTTGTTATTAGTAAAACTTTAACAGCATTTCCATTTGGAAAGTGAGAAAACAGGCCTTACCTTGGAAAAATGAACTGCTAGATGAATAGAAAATTGGCTGGCCCACCAGGCACAAATAGTAGTGACTATTGACTTGATTTTGGCTGACAGTCTGCAGCAATCAGAGGGTTCCAGAGGCCAATTTTCTGGTCCATATGTATTCAACATCTTCATCAGCCACTTGGGTAATGGCATAGAGTGCACCCACAAGCAAATTTGTAGATGACTATAAACTGAGGAGAGTTGTTGGCACAGTTTCAATCCAGAGGGAATTCAAAAAATTTGAGGACTGCAGCCAACAAAACCCTTCTGATTTGTCTTACAACAGAGTTCAAATTCAGAAACTATGATGGAAAATCCTGCACATTTGTACTAGGAACTGACAACCAAAAAGCAGAGCTGCTGGTAAGAGCTTGTATTGCGTTTGTGTGGCCAGGTTTTGGTAGCAGGGGAGCTACAGGGGTGGCTTCTGTGAGAAGCTGCCAGAAGCTTCCCCCATGTCTGACAGAGTCAGTGCCAGCTGGCTCCAGGGCAGGCCCACTGCTGGCCAAGGCCTAGCCAATCAGGAATGATAGTAACACCTCTGTGATAACATATTTAAGAAGGGAAAAAAAATATTGTGCAGATGTAATTGCGGCCAGAGAAGAGCAGAGGAACAGCTCTGCAGACACCAAGGTCAGTGCCAAAGGAGGAGGAAGAGAAGCTCCAGGCAACAGAGCAGAGGTTCCCCTGCAGCCTGTGGTGAAGACCATGGTGAAGTAGCTGTGCCCCTGCAAGCCATGGAGGTCAATTGGTATGCAGAGATCCACCTTGGAGGTGACCCACATCAGAGCAGGTGGATGCATGAAAGGAGGTTGTGATCCCATGAGGAGCCTGTGCTGGAGCAGGATCCTAGTAGGGACCTGCAGACCCATACACAGAGGAGCCCATGCTGGAGCAGGTTTCCTGGTAGGACTTGTGACACTGTGGAGGACTCATGTTGGAGCAGGCTATGCCTGAAGGATTGCACCCCATGGAAGACTGACCAATGCTGCAGCAGTTTATGGAGAACTGTTGCTTGTGAGATGGATCCAGGTTTGAGAAGTTCATGGAGGACGGTCTCCCATGGGAAGGACCCCACACTGGAGCAGGGGAAGGACTGTTCTCACTGAGCAGTGGCAGGAACAACCTGTGATGAACTGATCATAACTCCCATTATTCATCTCACTTCACCAGTGAGGGGAGGACGTGCCTATTGTTCACCCACCACATGATGTGTTTGTCCAACTGTGTTCTGGATATTTTGTCCAGAAGGATCCTATGAGAGACAGTGTCAAAAACTTTACTGAAATCCAAAAAGATTACCTCAACTGGTTTCCCTTGATCAGCCAGGGGGGTTGGTTACCTTGACATAAAAGGATATCAGGCTGGATAAGCAGGACTTTCCTCTCATGAAACCATGATGGCTGTGACCAATGACTATGTTGTCTTTCAGGTGTTTTTCAATACTTCCCAGAATAATCTTTTCCATAACTTTACCAGGCATCGAAGTGAGACTGGCAGGCCTGCAGTTTCCAGGACCTTCCTTCTTGCCCTTCTTGAAAATCAGCTTCCCAGTCAGCTAGGATGTCTCCAAAGTCCCAAGACTGCAATCATCAAGAGAGGTTTTACAATGACAATCAGCCAGGTCTTTGAGGATTCTTGGATTCTTGGATCAAGTCAACTGAGACTTCTCATTCTCTCAGTCATGGTTCTCCAGCTCAGGGCACTGAGACGGCCTTGGTCTGTCATTTGTATTGAAGACAGAGGCAAAGAAAGAATTAAAAAACCTCTGCCTTGTCTCTTTCCCTGTTTGTGATGTGACCATCATCATCCTGTAACGGGTCAATGATATTTCTGTACTGCTGTACTGCCTATTGTCATTAATATGCTTGAAAAACCTCCTTTTATTGTGTCTCACAGTTCTGGCCAGCTTACATTCCAGCTGAGTTTTGGCCACATTAATTTTCTCCCACTGGGCATAACACCATCTTTTTTTCCTTATTTCCCAGAGAAGATCCCTGCTTAGCCAAGCCGGCCTTCAGCCTCACCTTCTTGACTTACAACATTTGGGAATTGCCTGCTCCTGTGTCTTTAGGAGGTGATGTTTGAAAAGTGACCAGTACATATGGACCCCAGCACCAGCAAAAATATTTTCCCAGGGGAGTTACTAACACTTGTTATTTTATTGCAAATCTTAGCAAATTTTATGGGTTAGAGGAGACCTGAGATCAAGATCACAAGAGATACTGGTGATATGAGAAACCGAGCTTTCATTAAAAAAAAAAAAAAGGAAAAAAAGAAGGAAAAAAACTCAAACAAAAACAAAATAAAAAAAAATCAAACCCAAAAATCAAACCTGTGGAGAACTCTCAAGCAAAAAAACCCCACCAACCCAAACCAAAACAAACAAACAAAAAACTAAAAAAACCAAAAACACCTTAGAAGTATTCTGACATTGCAGATATTTTAATGGTTATTTTTAAGAGTCTTACCCATTTTCTGTGAAATGAAATATGAGACTCTGCAAATGTAATTCAGTATGCAAGATCTTATGCTAGCACATACTTGCAGTATTGAAGCATCTGTAGTTAAGGTTCTGGTTTGCAATTTCAGTGTTATCCATGAAGCAACATTATACTAGTCTGTCAAATTTTATTCCTTCATCTGCTCCTTTTTGCAATTTTCTTGTACTCTCTTCTTTAAAACACAAAATGGAAAGAGGATTATGGAAATTCAGAGAGGTAGTATCAGTGTCAGAGGAACATTAAAGGGCCACCCTGCATAATCCAATATGAACTAGTTTTGCTGACCTACCAGCTTCAAAATGGGCCGTACCATACAACTGAGAAGCTGTACTGTGTGAGCAACAGAGGAGTGTAACCAGCTTAACCTACAAGCTAGGACTGTTGGTCTTTGACAGTCTGTAGGTGAAATATGTGATATATGTACTACACCCATTAGGGGAAAAATTACAGCTCTTACCACAGAACCATAGAATGAGCTGGGTTACAAGGGACCTCTAAAGATCACCTAGCCTAGCACTCCTGCCATCAGCAGGGATGTCTTTCACTTGATCGGTTTGATCCACTAGATCCAATTCGATCTTGAATGCTTCCATGGATTGAGCATCCACAGGTTCTTTGGGAAACCTGTCCAAGTGCCTCACTGCCCTCAGAGTGAAGAATTTCTTCCAATTTAAATCTACCCTCTTTTGGTTTAAAACCAACATCCCTTGTTCTGTCATTTCAGGAGTTGGTAAAAAGACTGTCTCCATCTTTCCTAAAAGTTCCTTTTACATATTAAAAGGCTACAACAAGGTCTCCTCTTCTCCAGTCTGAGCAATCCCAACTCTCTCAAGTCTGTCTTCAGACCTTTCAGGTAGTTGTAGAGAGCGAGAAGGTCTCACCTGAGCCTTCTTTTCTCCAGGCTAAACAATCTCAGTTACTTCAGCTGTTCCTCATAAGACATGCTCCAAGTCCTTTATCAATTTTGCTCTTCCTTCTTTCAGGATACTTGCACATGGTCCATCACACAGTTGTTGAAGATGAACGAATATTTTAATCTAATTAATTGCTAGTCATTACAAATCCTTGAATTTTGCCTCTCCCTTCCTAAGAAGATTCAAAGAG